CTTTAAGTACCTCGTTGAGTAGTTTCTGCACAGCCGGATCCGTGCTGGAACACAGCTGTGAGAGGGCCACCAGTGCTGTGTTCACATCAAAGCGTCCCGAGAACATCTGCTGACTCTCCACCCACTTGGCCATCACCAGCTCAAAGCCACTGACTGTGCGCGTGACAGTCTCGCCCTTGTGGTTGACGCCGACCGGGCTGAGGTATGGGGTGTTACCTGTGGGGTGAGCAGGGTGCAATAGATAGTATCAGCTGTAGATTACAGTCGTATCTTGATTGGAAACATGCGTAGCCCCTGGGCAGACAACGATAGAACCTCGGGTACTCGTATCGCATATGCCTACATCTCTACATGGAGTGATCATCTCTTCTAGCCGACTATAATGGAAACTCCGGTACTCATCTCCTATTACAGATAGATCAACCTGGGATAATGCCATTTAACTTCAATTTCTCTTGCTAGAACATAAGGTGCGTGACAGGTCCAAATATTGGGGGATTGAGGTGCAGCGATATCATTGCCCTCAGACGGGCATAGAGAGTACCTAAGGCCCAAGTGGTGGAGAAACAAAGGAAGTAGTGCAGCAAGACGTGCCTGAGCATCACATGTACCTACCTGACACCACATCGACCGTCTGCGAAGTAAGGAAGCCCAGGCACCAGGACAGATCCGCCAGCATCATCTGCGCAAACATCACCACCAGGGTCTGTTCGTATAGGATGAAGCTGACACTGGACAGCTTCTGCAGAGCCGTGTTGAGCATGGGAAGCATGTACTCGCCCAGGTCAACCTAACCGCGCGAGCGAAGGGTGTGCAACAAAAGAGTGAGACGAGGCTTGAGGGTGATGTGCTAACGTAGACCATACAGGGCCGCATGGTGTTAAGTCTGGGATGTATCGGCGTTCTGCCAGAGACCGCCTCCCAATGGTTGTGCTTGTTATAAATGGAAGATTGGGTTGCAGCTCGATATGATAGTTAGCCTGTGGACACAGACATGGAACTAAACTGTCCATTTAGTTCTGGCATATAGGTATGCGAAGTGGTGAAACATTGCAAGAGTTGCTATGGCTATCTCTATCTACACTGTAGCATATAACCTCGGAAGTTCGTAGACGAATACGCCTTCGCATGACCTAATGTACACAACTAAACCCGCGGCGTACACATGAGTTACGAACTTCGCTCTGGTGACGTAAGTAAAGTATACCCTTGCATCAATTGTTCATTGTTGTACTCAAGTCTGAACTTTGCAGCAAAGGTGGAAACAAAAGGGGGGAGCTGCTATTGGATTGTTTGGCTGGCAACTGATTGTGAGCCCTGCGATTGGATTGTTGGGCTGGCAATTGATTCCGAGAATTCGAATGTACGCTACAACTGGGTACACGCTTGAGGCGCCGTTGCGGCGTAAAATGCGCACCAAGAACCAACATCAACCGTCAAGCAGATATAGCTGCTACACTGAGAGTAATGGGAAAGGCCGGATACCACTCTACAAGAAATACGCCACACAACGCCACCAGCGCACATCTTGGGGCAACGCACTGGAGAGCACGAACTCAAACTGCGCCACAGTTATTAAATGCTAAGTAGCGAACAAACAAGTATTCTGGGATCATACCTTTTTGACTAGTTTGATGATCAACCGTCCGACAAGCGTACCTACAGCAGATGTAAATGTAGGAGAAGGGTGTATGAGCCATGTTCCACAAGCAATGTCTAATATATCTATAATGAAGTTTAATGGTGATTTAGAAATGTGTTTGTATCTAGGAATTTAGCATGTGTTTGTATCTAGGAATTGAGCATGTGTTTGTATCTAGGAAATTTATATATATATATATATATATATATATATATTATTTA